CCTACGAAAATCATAAACATTACAAACTTCATAAAGTCACCATGTATTGCAAGCACAGTATGTTATGTTAATTTACGTTATCTTGGACAAATGTTGCTTTTATTGTTTCTCACTCCTTGCATCACATTTGCAAACTCTAAAACATGAAGTGTGAACCTGAGCTATCACATGATTTCAGTCATGAGCAGGAAGTACTAGAAAGAAACATCAGAGTGGCAGCATTCAGTGTGGTCTTTTAGACCACTGGGCTAAAGATGACATTTGGACATTGGAGCTCAATATAATGTGCATGTTAATCTTATTCCTTGCAAAGAAACACCTCTTAAAAAGTAAACTTGAGATATCAGATCATATCTGCCATCGATCTGTGACGTATCTGTTGAAGGCACTTCGCCCACATGGTGGTTGCACAGCAGGTTATTTCCAAACCTCATCTTAAACAGGGACACAAACAGTTTGATATTTTTTTTAATGAATTATGAGGCCCCAAACAGTCTCTTAACGAACACTTCTGAGTTAGAATGATAATCAGCCCTGCAGTTACCAGGCCTTTCCCCATCTGTTACCACTCTCCCTCATCCGGCCTGCAGATTCTTACCTGGACCTCACTCTGACTTCATACCAGCCTGCCTACCTGTACCTGCCTGTAAGCTACATCACCAGTAAATCACTTAAGTCATCCTGCTGCCTCCTCCATCTGTGTTTGGGTCTTTTCCCTGTTGTCCTACACAATCAGTTGTGACAGAAAATATCATTTAATCTGTATTTTCTGTTCCAGTTTAAATCAATCTAACCCTAACCGTTTTTAAAATCATGTTTAGGTGCCAGTATAGAGATGATAGATAATGTATTTGCTTATATATGACTTACATTCATAAGTGTCTTTTAGGAGAAACTGTAGTTTAATCTGAAATACAGGCAGACGGGAAAAGTACTTTGTCAGCCCTGAATAGTGTCTGCAGGTATTCCTTTCATGCTGCATATGCTCTGTTGATGCTTGATGCTCTGTTGATGCTTGATGCTCTGTTGATGCTGATGCTCTGTTGATGCTGATGCTCTGTTGATGCTGATGCTCTGTTGATGCTTGTATGTTGTTCCTCAAATGTAAGTCGCTTTGGATAAAAGCGTCTGCCAAATGAGTAAATGTAAATGTAAATGTAAATGCATACAGCCCCAACAATCTTCACCAGCAACCTTCACCAACATTGCAGGGCCTGAGAGGCAAAATAAACCCTCTCTGCACCACTTGCTGCTGCTTGTAACGCTCTTGATTACTGATAACTGGAGGCTTCTCAGATGTGCATATGAACATTCTCATCATCTTCTCTCTTTTCTCGTGTGGATTCAAGAAGCTGGATAATAAGAGGACAATATTCAAAGAGATTTCAATAAGAACATCAATTAGAAACTGGAAAAATGAGGGGGACATGTCCCCCACATCCCCAGTGGAAATTATATTCTTATCTGAAGTTAATAAACGACTTCAGCAGTCTGAAATTCACAAATTAAGTGGATAGCTGGAGGAATGATTACAGCACGCAAAACACATTTCAATGTACATATCTCACTTGAGTTAACACTTTAAAAACAGTAGGTGGTATGCTGAAATGATGAGGAAGGCTTTCGACTACAGTGTGGGTGCTTTTTCCTCCCCTATACTGTGCTTAATAGAATATGTTTGAAATACAGTAATTCACCTTGTGAATCAAGGCTACAAGTCTGGAATAATCAACATAACAAAACATGACATTACTACATTGAAAAAAAGATGAATGCAGGGAAGTATGCCCTGCTGGTTGGGTAATCTCGTGGCTGACAGCCAATATTAATGAAAGAAGGCTCACACAGTGGCAAGCTGAACTGTTTTCCCTTTAATAATGCCTAATGATTTGTGACAGCTGAAGCATAAACAATACAACATGCAGAGAGGAGAGCAAATATCATCCCTCTACACACACAGAAACCTTCCCACATAACTGAATGGACATTCATTATTCATTTTTATAAAAAGATCCAAAACACATGACGTAACTCCAACATGGTCCTCTCCTCTGACTGTGTTGTGAATGACGTATAGTTTTCATGGAAATGTTATATAATAATCTTTTGTTTGGTTATTTAAATAGTCGCCTGTTATAAAACAGTTAGTTTTGCATAATATGCAAAACTATGGCAAAATAATTTATGTAGTCGTAGTAGTAACAGTATTTGTGCTAGTAGGGGTAGTGATGTGCTACAGTAATAGTTGTAGTGGTAGTACTAGTAACAGTAATGCCAGTAGTAATAGTAGTAATAGTATTTGTGCTGGTGGCAGTAATATACTGTAATGATAGTTGTAGAGGTTGTAGCTTTAGAAGTAGTGGTAGTACTAGTTGCGGTGATACTGGAAGTAGTAGTAGCAAGAGCAGTAGTAGTGGTAGTGATAGAAGTGGATTAGTACTAGCAGCAGTGACAGTGATAGCATTTGTCCTAGCAGTAGAAGTAGTGGTAGTGGTGCTGGTAATAATAGTAGTGTAGTATACACAAATCAAACATGAAAAACTATGTCACGATCATCTTTGCCATGAAATCTCTGATATAAAAAACTGCCTGTTCAGTTGTCACCCTGACCACAGAGCTCTCACCTTTGTCCTCACAAATACAGTTGAATCTTATTTGCCACACTGTTCTTTGACACTTTCAGACTTTTTGTAGAGCTGAAAATGCTCTCTGTGGTTAACATAGAGTGGAGTTTTTGCATTCCCTGTACTAAACGCCTCATGCCACCCACATTTCAGTGCCACCTGTGAGAATAACAATTCTGTTTTCAAGTGCACAGTTTTGTTTTCCTTGTACACTGTTTAAATATGCAAAAGGGGTAGAGCTTGCAACAGATGTCAAGGCTACAACCGCAACTCACAACAATAATTTGTGTTATTACTTCTAACTACAGTATGTAATCACCACTATAATATAAGTAGAAATTGTTCAAGTAGAAAAGCAGTTTTTGAAAGTTCTTCTTATGCTACTCATAAATCATAAATAAGTGTTTGAAGTGCAGTACAAGGTTGACTTTGTTCATCACCTTTTGACTTTTCTGTACAGGAAGTATGTCCTTGTGTCAACAGGTTATACTCAGAATTTCTGAAACACAGGATTTACAAAAGCCACTAGAGGTGTTGACAGTTTTTCAACAAAGTCTGATTAGCTTTTGCACTGTTTTGATAGTAATCTGCATATCTGTTGACATACCTGATTTTCTGTTGAGCTTTGTGGTACTACTACTACTACTACATCCTTAAGCCAACATGGAGATGTCCTTAAAACACTCAGAATAAATGGAAAATCTATACATACACAACTGCTGAGAAAGATCTTGGATAATGATGGAAACAGCAGAAATTTTAGTTTGAGTTAAAATAGATTAGGATTATGATTATTGTTATTACAATTAGTGGTGGTAATAGGAGTAATAATGGTAGTAGCGGTAGGAGAAGTGTTAGTAGTAGCAGCAGTAGCAATAATAGTAGCAGTGAAAGCTGTGCAGTAGCAGTAGCAGTAGTAGTTGTACTGGCGTTCTGGCGCAGTACTAAACTGGTTTGAATCCATCTTAAAGGACAGGGACATCTTTGTGTCTATAAGTAATTACACACCTGAGCTGACAAAAATGACCTGTTGAGTTCCCCATGGCTTCATGCTAGGGCCTCTTGTGTTTAACATCTACATGATCCAGTGGTTCAGATTATGGAGAACAACAAATTATGTTTAAAAAATGATTCAGATGACACACACATTTACAAACAAAATATGACATGTGGACTATATTCCCATACAAGCGCAGAATAAGTGTTGAGAACAAATCAATGATTGAATGTGCCAGAAGTTTCTTCAGTTAAACAAAGATAAAACTGAAGTCATTGTTTTTGGAGCAAAGGAAGAATGATTAAAAGTCAGTGTTCAGATTCAGTCAGCAATGTTAAAAACGACGGAACAAGCCAGAAATCTTGGTATATAGTCATTGACTAAGACCTGATTTTCAACAGCCACATTAGGTTGATTACACCATCAGCCTATTCACATGAATAATAAATCAAGGATTAAAGGACTTAGGTCTCAGCAGGATCTAGAAATACTCAACTCGATGACTGTAACGGTGTCTTTCCAGGTCTGCCCAAAAAATCAGACTGCTGCAGTTGATTCAAAACACTGCTGCTCGAGATCTCACTACGACCAAAAAAGTGGGTCACATCACTCCAATTCTGAGGTCTTTATACTGGCTTGCTTTCTGTCAAATAACTGATTTTAAAATACAACTGTTGGTTTACAAAGCACTGAATCATTTAGGGCCAAAATACATTTCTTATCTTCTGCTACGTTATGAGCAATTCAGACCTCTCAGGTCATCTGGGACTCTCTGAGGCTCTGTCCCCAGAGTCAAAACTAAACATGGAGAAATGGCGTTCAGTTTTTATGCACCATGTATCTGGAATAAACTCCCAGAATACTGCAGGTCTGCTGAAACTCCCAGTTCTTTTAAATCAAGGCCAAAGAATTTTATGTTTGCTGCAGTTTTATTAAATCAAATTTGAGGCATTTGATTAATATCTTACACTGCACTGTATGTTTTGCTCTCCTATTTTATCTTGTTTTTATTTTGTTTTTAAATGACCTTTAATATTTCCATTGGTTGCTTTTATGTTGTATTTTTATAAATCTTTTTTATTGACATAGTAAATCAGCAACAACTCACAAGAAGTAAATCAGTTCTCCATTTTCATTTAATGGAATAACAAACAACAAACACAGAAAAAATGATTGAAGATTGAAGAAAATAATAAAACAAACTTAGCAAACAGAACTCTGCTGCTTTTATGTTTTATGTAACGTACAATGAATTACCTTGATGTTGATATATGCTATACTACTTAACTTGCTTTGCATAGTAGCAGCAGAAATATTACTGACAACGCTTGTATTTTTTAAAGGAAGTGACGTGACAGCCGTTTTTTACATTTCCTGGAGACGGTTGCTAAAACAGTTTGCCTCCTTTCCTCTCAGTTGCGTTAGTACGGTGTCTAATGGTTCCTGAGAGTTTCTAAAAAACAAAAATGGCTTTTGTTTCACACAACCAGCGAGATGCTAACGGAAGTTATACCTTCTCAAGTCGCCCCAGACCCGTTGAGAACCGCTCCAAATACAGAGAGCCTCCGTCTGAACAGTACGTTTGTTGCTAATGTGTTTGCAAAGTGCTAACGTTGCTTCATTGTATCTCATCGGGCAGATAGACTAGATAAACCAGTCTAACGTTACGTTGCATGCAGTGCGAATTAAAAGATAATCACTGTAACTTAACGTTACATGGCTTTATTAGCAGGGAAATGTCTCAAGTTATTTAACTGATGAAATACTAAATGATATTGACACTGCTAAGTAGCAGACAAGATACATTAATATAAAAGCAACTGTAAAAATGGTTAACAAAAATAAACTATATTCAGTGGAACAGTGCTGAGGATGAATTTGAGTTCAAAATTCTGATAGTTTTGGGGGAGAAAGCTGCTCTGCTGTCTGGTGGTGCGGCAGCAGTATCTCTTCCCAGGAGGCAGCAGGGTGAACAGGCTGTGGCTGGTGAGGGGACTGTTCTTTAGTATCCTTTTGCAACACCAGACACAACCGCAACAACCAAAGGACATTCACCAATGACTTTTAAGATACACATATAAACAGCATAACTTTAATTCCAGTCTTTCATCCCATGTTAAAATTCACCAAAGGGCGTCAGATTTTTCAGCTGCAAGTCAGTCTGCAATGTATTCCAGGTGAAGGGAGCAGAGTAGCTAAAGGCCCTCTACCGAGCTCTGTACAGACCTTAGTACTTGTTGTTATAAATTAAACTACCCAACAGTTTACGCAAGTACAGCTTGTGCATTAGATTATTGACAGAAATCCATTGGCAGCTATTTTTAGAATCAATTAAGTAATTTTCCATGTAAAAACATTTCATGGTTCCAGCTTCACAAAATGGAAGATTTGCTGCTTTCCTTATAATTCTTTTAATGTATTTTTTATATTCATCGAAAAACAATCGATTAATGGAGAAAATAATCACCAGATTAATCCATTATGAAAAGAATCATTAATTGCAGTCTAAATAGTTCAGCCTCAACAAACTCCAGCAGTAAAACCCTGATTTTATATTAATGCATGAGTAATAATAATCTAATGCTATAATATATTGTAGTGTAACAGTCACAGGGGACATTTACATTGACATTTGCATTGAGGACTTTTACTTTTAATACTTTAGTACAATATTCCTGATTATACTTACTTTTACTTAAGTACTATTTTAAATGCAGAACTTGTAACAGAGTATTTTTACAGTATGGTATTAATACTTTTATTTGAGTAAAGTATCTGAATACTTCAATATTCTCTGTTGAGTAATTTATACATGCTAAATCAGTTGAAACTGACTTGACTTCAGCAAGCTAAAAATAATATATGTCCAATAATCCATTGTATATAATAACCTAACACCCAAAAACTTATGCTTTTGATATCTTTAGAAATACTTGCTGAAAACACTTTTATTTAGATACAATTTTGAATTCATGTTAACTTGTGTGGTATCACTGCTTTTACTTTAGTAAATATTCTCAGTACTTCCTCCACCACTGTGTTACCAGACAGAAAGAAAATGCCTGAAAAAGTATATGCCAATTAAATGCCACCTTAGTCAAAGACTGTCAAAGACCAGCACACGACATGGATGACACCTTTGAGTGTCAAGGTCAGCTACTAATGAGTGTCTTCCCTTGACAATGTAGGACACAGAGTAATTATGGAAATATTATGTATGATCGTCGTGTTGTCAGAGGAAACACATACGCCCAACACATTATACCAACTGTAAGTATGAAACATCTGTTTTACCATGCTTGATACCTGGTAGGTTTCCCTTTCTTTCTGCCACTTTATGTATATTATCATCCACCTTTTACAGATGGCACAGCCAGACCCTGGTGAAACACAAACACAACAGGAGATCAGGAGGAGAGCCATTGCTCGTAAACGAGTCAGGGAGCAGTTCAGACCCAGCACTCCCGATGCCTTGCAGGGCAGAAAACACATTGATGTACAAACAGGTCAGACTTTTCTCAAGACAACCTCAGGATGTTAACATCTATAGTATATTCAGTTGTGTCAAATGTGCTGTTGGAAATAGGGCTGCAAATAACAATTATTTTCATTATCGATTAGTCTGACGATCATTTTCAAGATTAAGTGATTAGTTGTTCGGTCAATAAAAGGTCAGAAAATGGTGAAAAATGTTGATCAGTGTTTCCCTAAAGCCCAAGGTGACGTCCTCAAATGTCTTGTTTTGTCCACAACCCAACGATATTCAGTTTACCGCCATAGAGGACAAAAGAAGCCAGAAAATATTTACATTTGAGAAGCTGAAACCAGATAATTTGGACATTTTCTCTTAAAAAATTACTGAAAATAATGAATCGGTTATCAAAATAGTTGGCGATTAATTTAATAGTTGACAATTAATCCATTCATCCACTAATTGTTGCAGCTAATAGTTGGTAAACCAAAGCTGCTTTGTATTACTCTGACCTTTCTTTTCAGATCTTTATCTTGAAGAACTGAGTGATGTTATAGTGGCTACAGATATTGAGTGCCAGACTGATGCTTTCCTGGACAAACCAACAACCCCACTCTTCATTCCAGCCAAATCTGGCAAAGATGTTGAAACACAGATAGAGGAGGGAGAGGTAGGTACTCCCAGTTAGAGGTCTGGCCACATCTTCTACACTTAATAGCCTCAGCAGAAAAAACATATTAGACCTGTTGTAGATACTATTTAAATGAGAAACCCCACACAAAAAGGCCAGTTTGTAGTTCTATAATGTCTTCTGTTGACCTGGACGATCTACCACTACTGACCCAAGTCAGGCCACCATATCATTAAGGTTATCTTAGCTTTGTTATGGAGACTACAGATTTACAGTATAATATAAAACCTGTGTGAACAAACTTACCAGGAAGGGAGAGTCCACAAAAAGATCTCATAGGCATGATGCATCATGGGAAATGTAGGATCCAGCGGTTTTTGACCGTGACCCATAGAGACTAAAAGTCAGAATATGTTGGCGGCCTCTGCTATGATTGTCTGTTTCTTCTGAGCCCCCCAACTTTATGGAAGTGCAATACAAATTTTATCATGTAGGATGTTAATGAGAAAAAACATGTACAGCGTTTGCATGTTTGATAAAATTCAAATGCACACTGTTAACGCTACTTACTACCAGTATCCCCTGCAGCTGTTTGACTTTGACAGGGAGGTGCAGCCAGTGTTGGAGGTCCTGGTGGGTAAGACAATAGAACAGTCTCTGGAGGAGGTGATGGAGGAGGAAGAGCTGGCCTGTCTGAGGGCCCAGCAGAGGGCCTTCGAAGAGCTCCGAAATAACGAGCTGGCAGAGGTACAGCGGCTTCAGGAGCAGGAGAGACGCCACAGTCAGGAGAAGGTATGTAAATGATAGAAGATCCCTTTTAAATCAATTACAGTTTTTTTCAATTGCTAACCTGCATTGGTCAAAACTGAAGTCATATTGTCAAAACTCTTCACACAGTCAGCAAAACAGAAGTGTATGTGGACAAAACTGCGAATCATTTTTCATTGTTTTCACACAAAATGCATTCAATGACCACTTTCTCCAAAATCCATGAACTCTTTTCCCATTACTACTTCACCACCTGCAAAACACTGTATATCTGCAGCACATTTTTCAAATGCTAACACACCAAATTTCCTGCATTTTTGCTGTAGCAGGACAGATATATATAGAAAATCTTTGCAGAACATTTACATCCATTTTATGTTTTAGAGAAATATGTGTATAAGTTTTGAATGTGGTTTTACTGTAAAACTGCAAGCTGAGTGTAAAGCAAGAAATGTGCTTATATTTTAGCAGAACTGGTTCAAGGGGATGGTACATAAATTACAGACTGTGGTCATTGGGTCTCAGGTACCAGTGTTAACTATGTAAACAACTGAAAAAAAGTGTATTGAAGCACTGAAATGTCAGGAACTTCTTTTTTTCACAAGTAAATTACTGAATGCATTTCTTATTCATTCTTTTAACATATACTATAGTACAGTCAATAAAGTGAAAATATGTTACAGGTTTCTTCCATTTTTTCTCAGTCGCTTTGGTACATTTGCAAAATGGCTAAACATTTTATGACAATGATTGAAAATGCACAAGGCTGTACTTTTTCTGTATGGCATAGATCAATTTCAACAGTACAGAGTTACAGTAAACCTTGCAAGAGATTGGACAGGATTCACAGTTACTGTATGCACTGTAATTTGTTTTGTATTGTGATACAGAAAATAAAAAAACAAGACTATTTTACAGCACTGCATAGCACAACGGAAACAATTACTAAATAAGAAATGGAAACATGAAAACACCCCCTCGGGTTGACGTTCCTGTCTATTGGGCCACAGATTCTTATTCACAGCACAACAGATCAGAACTTCATCAATTTACTGTAGGACAAATTTACAAAACAAGTCTAATAGACATATGTAGGAAAATGCAGATTATGACGTGTTCAACCATTTTACATGTAGTGACTTACGCAATGAACTTATGTCTAGATGTTTTGGGGGGTAAAACCAGTATACTGTAATACATTGTGATCAACATGACATATAGTAAGCAATTGATAATGTAGGAAACAGCAGACAAATGTACATAATAATTTGCATAAATGTGTCAAAGCATGTGCAATTTGCAATTTCTCAAAAGACTGAGAAATTGCTGTTACATATGGTGTGCACAAGCGACTAGATGATGTGGAGGTTGAACAAGTAGAATTTCAATTCTAATCCGAGAAATGTATCAAAGTGACTGACAAGAATTGTATTCTATAATGAAATACTGATTTATGTGAAAATATCAGTCACATTTCAAGGATAAAAGTTCAACAAATTTACATAATGCTTCCTGTTGTTAGTGTTTTGTAGGTCAGTGTGTTGTGACAGTGTATGCTTTCTGAGTGGTTATTGTTGCCAGTGTTTTGGCTGAGTTTATTTTGAGGCTTATATGAAGTGTGGTGGTTTGAGTGTCTTTTGGAGGTGAGATTAACTGTTTGGCCAGGATGCATGTTGGTAATGCAGACTGTGTGATGAGTTTTGAAAAAGTGGCTTCAGTTTTGACCATTGTATCTTAGCAATTGAAAAAAACTGTAATAAGAACTTAGGTTTAGATGTCTGAAATCTTCTTAGATTATCACTACAAGCAATGTGACTCAATGTGACTACACAGTTGGTTATTTCACAAGAGTTTTGTTTGCTTATGTTGCCAGGGAGACACCGTTGTCAGTCTAATCTGTTCAAACCATAACCTCAAACTAAATTTCTTCTTCTTCCCCAATTCACTACACAGTTAAGGAAATGAAGGAAACATGTGGCTGCCACAGTCCTAAATAAGCACCTGCTTCTGTGTGCAGGATTATTTCTGAGAATCACTATCATATCAAATCGACAGACTTGATCGTTCACATTCAGAACCACAGTTTGTGTTTGTTTAACAAACGTTTCTTCTGACATCAGGAGCGTAGAATTGCAGAGCAGAAGGAGGTGTTGAAGAAAGAAAGAGAGACTGCTGAGAAGATTGCTGCCCGGGCGTACACCCAGCAGTACTTGGCTGACCTCCTCCCGGCAGTCTTCACCTCACTGAGAAGCCACGGTTACTTCTATGACCCCGTGGAGAAAGGTCAGCTTTCCTTTGCTGCGTTGCTCTCCAGCATCGCCTTCCACTCAATCTTAGCTTTCTCCTTTCTGACAGATGAGGGCACCACTGCACTCCATTTCATACAATCTGTAATATGATGTGTGACACGTAATATATGAGCATGATACTCTGTGCATGAAGACATAGATGAGTGTTTAACCTTTTATCATATTTGTGGTCATGATTTCCAGAAATTGAGACTGATTTCTTCCCGTGGCTGATGGCAGAGGTTAACAACACTTTGGAGAAGAGATACACAGCAAGAGAGCTGCTGGACAGTAAGGGAATACAATATGATCTTCTCAGTTGTGAAGGAGAGATTCCTCTGCTTAAGCCGGGCAATGCTCTAATTTGCAAACCTGCTTTCTGTAATGCTCCATGTTTGTTTAGTATCCTTCCTAAATCCAACACAACAACCAGAAGTCTTCTCACCAGCCACAAACACACCATCATTCAGCAACAGCGTCACTTCATTGTACACTACTAGCACAAAATTGTACACAACCTGTAAGCCTCGACACCTGTCACAAAATAATACATTTCTTGATCGAATAGGAGCAGGAAGAAGAAAAATCCTATATTTTCTGCCCCCATAATTGTTGAAAATGGAACAGAAAATTGTCAGACATCCCAGATATGGGTCACCACAAACTGTTATTAACCAGTTCAACCAACACTTGGGCATTACTTTTTAAATGCATTTTTGCATAGACAACACACTTCTGGCCTTTATATTAAAAGTGCAAAATATCCTGCAGTTTTTTGTCACGATCCATAAATGTTTATTGTTCTGACAAAACTGACATGTATACATGTACCTAAACATTTGAGACAGGTATTGGTACATCATAAAATGTGAATGTAGAGCATGAAATATGGCAAATTTGTAAACTTTTTATAAACTTCACAGATTGCCACCAAGCAAAATTAAACATACCCACTGTAAACATGAAAATTTTCAGTACGCACGGGAAGCCACTATGGCCCAAATTGGCTGAATTGACTCAAAATGCTACCCTGCCCCCTTTAATTTTGAATAATCACAAAAATAGACAATTCCACACCAGATTCATTACAGCCCAAAACCATCCTACAATCTTAATAAATATAACCTTCCTGTCCAATTGTTGGAGGTTCTAGGCCGATGTTATTATCCCTGCCAGCTAAAAATGTATTTCAGAAGTCCTCCTCCAGGGGTCATCAGATCATAGACTTTGTTGGAGTGCCACCTAGCGGTTGTTTTTAAACATCACAGAGGTCATTAATGTCAAATATAATGTACACAGAGCAGTGACTGAAACGTCTTTGTGCTGTCTCTCTCTTTCAGCTATGATCAGTGAGGTCGCCCAGAAGAGGATGGACGGGTTTGCAGACAGCTGAATCTGACATGTAGACAGATTCAGCTGTAATGACTGACTGAGGAAGGTCAAGGACATGAATGTATTCTAAAAAATAAAGTGTTTTTTCACTGACTAAACTACCGTGAGTTGTGTCTTTGGGAACACATTACTAGCCATGTGTGTTATTTAAAACAAACATGTTGTTCAGGGTGCATCTCTGCAGAGACATCCATACATTACTAATACTAGTGTAATAAAGTTTATTCTAATGTCATTTGTTTCAAAGTTAAAATAAGTATTATAATTCTAATGATGAGTAATGAATGTGTGAAATAGTGGACAATTCAAATACAAGATGTTCCATGTTATCCTTTTTTGCAAACTTTCTACTCATTCTTGTAAATTATGTTTCAAGGGTTCCTGTTTGTACGGTATGAATTATGCAACTTTTCTGACACTTTCTTCAGTGTTTGAAGCGGTTGAACATACTTTTTTAGGATAAAATTTGTACAAAATTAGTGACCCTAGCATTTTTTCATTTTGATCATTTTGTTCAGATGTTGTTACTGTATATCAGAAGTGTGCTGCAGTCAATACAGTCCCCTACAAAAGTATTTGAACGGTAAGGCAAATTCCTTTGTTTTTGTAGTTCACTGAAGACATTTGGGTTTAAGATCAAAAGATGAGTATGAGACAAGAGTTCAGAATTTCAGCTTTTTCCTGGTATTCACAACTCAGGACATACCACCCTTTGTATTAGACCACAGCATTCTTAGGTGAGCAAAAGTAATGGAACAAATAATCTTAAAGTAAATAACATTTTATATTTGGTGGCATAACCCTTGCTTGCAATAACTGCCTCAAGCCTGCGACCCATCGACATCACTAAACTGTTGTATTCTTCATTTGCAATGCTATTCCAGGCTTTTACTGCAGCTTCTTTCAGTTCTTGTTTGTTTCGGGGTGTTTCTCCCTTCAGTCTCCTCTTAAGGAGGTGAAATGCAGCTCTATTGGGTTAAGGTCAGGTGATTGACTTGGCCAGTCTAAAACCTTCTACTTTTTCCCCTGATAAAGTCCTTTGTTTTGTTGGCAGTGTGCTTTGGGTCTTTGTCCTGCTGCATGATAAACTTCTTCCTGATTAGTTTCAATGCATTTCTCTGTAAATTGGCAGACAAAATGTTTCTGTCCACTTCTGAATTCACTGCACTGCACTGGTCGTTGGTGATGTCACTTACTGATGTTTTGGGGGGGTTTCTTCACAGCTCTCACGATATTTCTGTCATCAACTACTGTTGTTTTCCTTGGCCGACCTGTTCGACGTCTGTTCCTCAGTACACCAGTAGTTCCTTTCTTTTTCAGGACTTTCCAAATTGTTGTGCTTGCTATGCCCAATGTTTGTCCAATGGCTCTGGTCGATTTTCCTTCTTTTCTCAGCTTGACAATGGCTTGCTTTTCTCCCACAGACAGTTCTCTGGTCTTCATGTTGTTTTACCCACTATAACAGGAAATACAGTCTTTATAGGTTTGAACCAAGGATGAAAACTTAGACTAGTCATGCAGAGCTATTTAATGTTTGGACAATCAACCTAAAAGGCAACACCTGGGCAACAAGACACATCTGTCAGTCACTTGTTCCAATAGTTCTGCTCACTTGAAAAATGGGTGGGTTCAAACAAAGGGTGGTATGTCTTGAGTTGTTTAACACATCTAGATGTGAATACCAGGAAATGAGAGCTGAAATTCTGAACTCTTTTCTCTTACTCATCTTTTGATCTTAAACCCAAATGTCTTCAGTGAACAACAAAAACAAAAGGAATTTGCCTTACCGTTCCAATACTTTTGGAGGGGACTGTAGATTAAGCAATATGAGATATTTCATTGAGCTTCAGGGTTCATTCTTGACCTTGGAAAGCAGTTTTTGTTTCGTCTCTCTGAAGTTTAATCCATATTGTAGCCTTTATCTGTAGTTTGTTTTTTCATCAGTGGCTGGGTTTTTCATGGCTAGTTTAGTCAAACACAGTACTGTAAAACCCACAACTCTCCAGCATGATGTCAGAACTGGTCATTTTAGAGTAATCTTAACAAAAAACAGTTCCCTTTTGTGTGTGCAGCTAGTGAAGTTTCAGTCATTGCGAAACCAATAAATCTGGCATGAAAGACTTCTTTAGCAACGATTGCAGGGATTTGCTGTAAATCTACAATCGTCCTTCTTCAGAAGTGTGTTAATGTTTCCTGCTGTGGCTTTAAAAAAGTCTGCTTTTTATTATCATTGGCCTCATACTAGTGATAACCAGTCAATACAACCCAGGAGATGTCAGTCACAGGGCAGGTGAACAACAGGTTTAAAGGAACTTCAAATATTTAGAGGACCATTCAAAGTGCCTTCCTGTGACTTTTATCTATTTGCATCTGGCATCGCTCTGCAAACAGTTCGCTCAGGTGCACTAACAGGCAAATTCAACAATGTTTTGCATTACTCAGACAGACTTTTCTGTCGCCGCAAATATATCTCACCGCCCAAACAAAAACGTGTGTGTGTATACCACCTGATGTATGAGACTTTTCAGTTGTCAATAGGCTCACAGACAAGCCTATTGTAGTTCAGTAAGGGCTTCTGATAATGATGATGGTGGTGTTGACAATGGTCATGATGATGACGGATATAGCCGGTTAAGGCTTGGACAAAGCGGGAGGCAGGGCTGTCACATCACTGTACGGTGAGAAGTAGGTCTATCCTCCGATATATACGGCTCTATTTTAATCCCGTCATCCCATTGGCCAGCTCACCTTTGGCGCCTCCCCTCTAATTTGGCAGCATTTCCTTGGTTCACGGAGGGGCGGATGACGCGCACTTCCCCAGTGAACTACAGCGTGGCAAAAAAAGTTTCCGCTGTGATCAATGCTAACAGGTGACACCTCAGTCTGTACACAGCTGTTGCATGAGTTTTCAATCAGAAGCAGAATCAGCTTTAGTGCCGAGTAGCTTTTACACTTACAAGGAGTTTGCTTTGGTGACTAGGTGTGTGACAACAAACATAATAAGCTGTATGTATATATATGTATGTGCAAGATGGCAATTATTTATTCTATCTATCAGTGATTATCAGTATGAGAAATAGAATTTTATATAGCCTAGTAAAAGTATATAATTGGGACATATTAATACTGCTGTTGGTTTTGATATTTAAAAATTAGCAAATGATGATGTCGAAACCACCACAAATTATCATTAATGTATAATTAAACAGACCAGAGATTAGACATAGCCTTTATTGACTTGAATCAATAGCCATTGTGCAGTAGGCCTATGTTTTCAGTACCGCAATCATACAATGCTTCACATTTTAGGTTGCCATCTTGATCTCGTTGAGTTTGGGGCTTTATAGGCCCCAAATCCCATCTTCTAACGGTGAGGGAAGACTTATAGTTTCCATTCTTACGACCCTCATGGACATAATGCTCTGGCTGTCCTAGATTAAAAACTTAAAACTGCCCCTACTGTAGGTGGGGAAAAACCATCTTCATTTAAAATGCCCCTTAAACAATAATGAACGTGTCTTTGGTTTTTGAGGGAAAACCCCTTAAAGTCCCCCAGACTGGGACCCAGGTTTGTGAACCAGTGCTTCTCCAGCCTGCCGGTGACAGCAGGAATAGGATCGGCCGGGCGCTAAAGTGGGATGGATGAGCGCCATATTGCGCCTGGTGTGAACAGAGGGAGGGGAAATCTGCGGCTTCCAGCTTCGGACCGCTGAACATTCATCATCTCATCAGCTCCGGTAAGACTTTGAGCCAGCGGACTGTTGTTCTGACGGAAGCCGACAGTAGGTTACAGCGAGCTCGAAGCTGTGCAAAAAAATAGATCGGCTGCTACTTTTCGCACTTTTTCCGCGCACTTTCTGCTGCTCTGCACAAAGGAGGCAAATCTCACAACAGGTGTGTGTGGGATTACAGTGAGGATGTGGCTGACTGCAGCGGACATAAAGCTCCCGCATAAAGGGCAGCGTTATTAAGCCCAAAGCCTGGGTTTAAAGATTTAGGAGGTTGAACCTTTTTAAAATTAGTTTTATTATGAATTATGTCCTCCGTCTGTGCCGATCAAAGAGGTGGAATTTCTCGTTTGCTTGGCTTGAATCGTTTCCCTGTCGCCGTGGGTGTGTAGGCTACCGCCCGTGGAAATATACCCTGAAAATCACTACAATTTCTTACATTTTAACAACCTCAAGAGATTGCGACTGGGGCACTGGCCTTGACTATTGGTGGTTATTTACTGTGTAATGCAGCATTGTTTTTTTTTCTCTCTTAAAGCTACTTTATTGACCAGAGCTGGTGTAAATGGCTTCCATTAATCTGAATTGAGGTGTGGGATTGTCAGCAAATTAAGGCGTCAAAATTAAAGGCAAAGCAGGGTGGGGACTATAACTTTATCATAGCTGGTGGGTGAGGCACGTTGAGTAGGCTACTATACATATTTAACCTGCTTGGTGCGTGGGTGATTCAATTGTCAAGGTAGAATAGTAATACAGGACATCCGGTTTTACAATACAGAATAAAACTATTTTGAGGAACACAGAAAATTCATTAATTTACTTAAAAAATTTTTTTTTATTAATCATGTAAATCATATCAAGCAAAAATGCCAAACCCTCTCTGGTTCCAGCATCTCAAATGTTAAAATGTATTGATTTTCTCTATTTTGTGTAATTGTAAATTTAACGCATTTGCGGTGTTTTTAAGAGACACCAAGCAATTTGAAGACATCACTTTGGGAACTGAGAATTTGTGATGTTTTTTTCCGCCATTGTCAGACAGTTAGTAGACAAAATGATTAATTGAAAAGATATTTGAGAGGTGAATCCATACTTAATATAATTGTTTGTTTCAGCAATAGTTGGCTGGTTTTGGGTATATGAACAAATAGTAGTTTAGAATTGTTTGGGTTATTTAACGGTAGCTGTGGTCAATATTGTGAGGAAATACAAGTGAGCAGACTCCTGCTCTTACTTTGAAGTTCAGAGGCGTAACTTCCGGTGGTGTGCTAGCTAGCTGCCGTTAACTTGACGTTTCTCTCGGTGATTCATCCTGATGACTGTCGTCTGCAGGAGTGCCGCGCTCCACTCACCAGGGTTTAAGTAACGAC